AGGCTTAAGCTCTTTTGAGAACTGAAAGCTGTTGACGAGTGAGTCAGTATGAGATTTAGTTTAGCCATAATATAATTACCCAATGTATCAACATCGGTTTTCTTAAAGATTAATAAACACACCTTGCTGGCCTGACTGCGGGTTATAGTAAAAAAAAAAAAGTAGATAATATATAAATAGCATATAATATAAATCTAAATATTATAATATTAAAATAAATAATTATAATATTAAAATAAATAAATATAATATTAAACTAATAAATATATACGTTGTAAATCCAGAAAAATTACTCTCTTATCACGGATAGTAACAAAAAATCAACCAAAAGAAGAAATTCAAATAAAAAACCTACATATAAAATATTTCATTTCAAATATAGAGCTTAAAACAAATTATGATTTATTATAACAAATTTTCCCTAATATAAGCTAACTAAATAATAAAATAAATAGAATTGAAAAGAGTTTTTGATATTATTCCTAATAGTTGGATCAGTTTAATCACAATATTCTGAAAAAAAACCAAAACTCTCAAAGAGAATCCAATTTTCTAAAAATAAGAGATACTATATGATAACAAAATGTTTTACACATTACTTTAAAAACACACAATATTAGAGATATTAATGCCATCCTGAACCAATAAAGACTTTATGATAGAATCCAAGAGACAAACGTAGGAAATTTGTGAAACAAGACCTTCAGTGAAAACTGATAGTTATGCTTTCGGCTTTCAGGATACACATCTGCGAGAGAATTTTCTAATAATCTTTATCATCAACTGTTGGCCACCAATCGGGTATAAAGGGTTTAACCTTATACACCTTGCCTTTCCCATTCGCCACAAATAAATTATTTTCTTGCACCTTGTCTAAAGATAATAACGCTAAAGTAACATTGTATCTTGCGGAACCAATATTTCCCACCGGTCGCCCTTGTTTGCTTAAGTTTTCTATTGACGTATGTATGCCCGATGATGGAGAAGGCGACTCGATGATAGTCTTACGGTCTACTCTCAATGTGTCCGGAGGTCTATTTTTAGAATGAGATTAGTTGTTGAACTTATTTCGGGTTGAAATTCGTGAAGATGCTGAGCCAAAATTACTTTTCGTTCTGAAATAATTGCACGGGAATTATACGCTTTCTGGTCACTCCAATGTAATACGTCCTGAAGGTGAGTTCCTGTCCGATGTAACAACCCTTTCTCCAATCAACTTTTCCCATTAAGGGTAAATTATTAATTTTTTGGTATTGGTTTAAAGGAATAATAACAAAAAAAAAGAAAAAAAAAATCACTCACTTCCTCCCATATAATCAAAGTTTGACTGCAACGGTAACGACGTTCCTGGTTCGAAATCATCGATTCCTTCAGGAACTCCGTGCATAATACGACGTATCACGTATTCCTCCGATGGTAACTCCGTGAAAGAAGCTGGTACCGAAGCTTTACAATGATGTCAGTAATGTTATTTAATTGATAATCGAGCGGGCATATTTTCGCAAAACACATTCAATATTTCAAATTCCATAATAAAATTTACGTGACTTGTCGAACGGTAATACCATCCTCAATCCCATATAAGGACATCTAGTATCTCTACAACCAATGTCACTAACCCTTTCCTTCAGAATAAATGAACCGGCGGGTAGTTTGGTGGCGGTTTTGTTGGGAACCTGATGATGCCACCATAAATTGTTTATATCATTACCCCACAAGTTCCAGATGCGATACTGAGGTGATACATCAACGATGGAGACCTTGGATCGAAGAATGTACTTTTTCATGTGCTTAAGGAGATCGGTTAAGGCTCGTGAATCACACTCCACCAGAAAGTTTGGATGAGGGAACGTGTCTCCAAAATTCTTAGGATGAATAAAAGTATCATACAGAACACGTCCCTATAGAGACCGGGTCAAATCAGATGAATATATCTATATCTATATATATATATATCAAGGACATCTGGCGATCTAACATTTAACTCACGACCGGATTCAAGAATGCGGCATAAAATCCTTCCCCTCCTGAACTAATTCTTGGCATATGATTTGTTACTAGTCCCTGTAAAAATTTTATTGAATCTTCACCGGTTACTTCTATCAGACCTCGGGTAGGAACCTGAGTGTAATGGTTCCCTTTGTGTAGCTCGTCTTCATCCACGTGCGTCGAACTGAAAGTTCTTTGAAGCACACGAGGGTATAAACGGTGAAGAGGTAAACCTGAATGCCGAATATCCTTCTTTCGATTAACAGCACGATACCATTAAAAACTCAAATTTTACTTGTACAACAAATTGAATGTGTTACGTTGTGTTCTTATATTACCATCCAAAACGCGAGAATTGTATTGAGTCAATATTTTCCATTTGGACATGTTGGATACAGGAAAAACATCCTTTTTTTGCACCTTTTTTTCAAAGCCTCATCAATTTATGCGAATTATTCTCGTGTTACACGATCAATTATTTTTATTATGTAATAATTTACAAATATTATACTGTATTGCATATAGCACTTTTTTAGTGGAAGGTTTCAAGGAACTGCGGAATGATGCATTTTAATAGTCATTCTTTACTAAAACACCATCGATCTTGTAAATAATTCCATTCACTGCACTTTTGGTAATTCCCGTATTTATTTCACCGTTCAATTTATATCCATTTTTATTTTTTTCCACTTTAACCGTTGTCTCTTTGCGCATCGTCTGTAATTCTTGTCCCACGGGAAGAGATTGATACATGGCAGGTACAATATGTCCCAACACGAACTGATACATTTTTTTGTTAGGATCCTCAAGAGAATTCCCAACGTAGTTAGGTTTCCGGGTGAGGTTGCGAAAGGCAGAGTTTACAGGTGCGAAAAGAGTAATCGTCGAGTTGGGATCAGAGATCAAGTCGATCTTCGGAATGCAAGAAGGATCAGTATGCAATGTTAAACTATCAACCCCAAAAGAGAACTTCATACTTACAATGTCACCGAATGTTCGCAAACAATCCACAAATTGAGTCAAGTCTTTTTCCATGGGTATTATATCATTTATGGTGGGAGGACCATAGAGGATTGGTTCATCTGTTTGCATGTTCATTTTGACTTCCACATTTCCGAAAGGATACGCCGGTTCTTCTGGCTTGACTAAGGAAGCTGAGAAGGTTGTTAGGAATATTAATAGGGATACCAGGAATGCGGTTTTAGAACCTGTAAAACTGAGGTGACCCATTTTTCTTACTTGAACCTTGTAATTTGATTTCCTTTTATATGACGCACCCTGATTAATTCGTATCACGTGAAATTAATCTAAACTTTGTTTGGAATTAGCCAATCATCAAAATTTTAGGAAATTCTAATGTTAATTATTTTATTTTGATTCATCTTAAAAAATGTCTTCAGAGGAAAAAGTGATTATCGGCCTTCGAATAGGCCAAAGTTATTCTAGCATTGCCATCATTAATAAGGTATCAAATTAAGACTAGGCTTTGTCCCTATTTCGTAGAATTCTTATTTTTACTTGCAAACGCATAAAAGGACAAAAGGTCGGACTGCATAGCTAATGAAGACGGTGAGAGGCAAATACCAACAATGGTGGCTTTTTCTGGAGAAGAGGAGGTGACTTGAAATATTAAAAAGAAATTTTCTGGTGGATTGACGTATTTGTTGACCTTGAAAATTTCGACCCTTAGCTCACGGGAACTCAAGCTAAAGTTCAGTTGCTTAGTAATTCGAAGAATACCATCACCCAATTTCGTAATTTTATTGGGAAAAGGTAAGGTCGATGTTGATCAATATCTTGTACAAGTCATTCGATTTACATTCAAATTCTTTGGATTACCAAGTTTCGCCGAGTGCAAATCATTAGCGTCAAGTGGAACGGCTCTGTTGGTAGACAAAGATGGCGAGCCCGCATACGCCGTAGAGTTTAAAGAACAAGAGGCAATCTTCACGGTTAAGGAGATCACCACAAAGTACATTGCTAGTCTCCGCGAGAGCGCCGAAAACTTTTTAGGCCAGCCTGTTGCCGGTTCAGTTCTCGCAATTCCTACCTACTTTACGGATTCGCAACGCGAAGCCTTGAAAGTAGCCACCGAAAATGCGGGATTACGTGTGTTGCAATTGATCAATGAACCTACAGCGGCAGCGTTGGCATACGGTGTAGGACAACAATCGCTGACACTAAATCAATACCATGACGGTAATATCATTATTCTTGATCTGGGATCGGATAGTTTCGATGTCACGGCCATGTCCGTTCGTTCAGGGATGTTCACGATATTGGGAACCATGCACGACGCAAATCTTGGGGGCGCCGCGTTTGATGAGCTCCTTGCGAGTCACTTCGCGAGTGAATTCAAGCGTAAAACAAAGATCGACATGTCACAAAACAAGCGAGCTATGACCAAGCTGAGAAGTGCGGTCGAAATTACAAAAAAAACCCTGTCTAGTAGCACATCATCACCGTGTTCAATTGAGTCATTGGCTGAAGGTGTTGACTTCCATGGGACCATCAACAGGACTAGATTTGAAATTATGGCAAATAAACTTTTTAACAGAATTTCCGACGTTATAATGGAAGCTTTGAAAAACAATGAATTGGAACCTCATCTGATTAGCGAGGTACGTGCATTCAATTGAGGCATGAAGGAATCACTTGACATTCTAATATTTAACGAATACCTCTCGTATTTCAGGTAATTCTTGTGGGAGGTGCTTCTCGCATTCCAAAATTTCAATCCGTGATTAGAGATATATTCGTCAATCCGGACACCATCATTCGGCAAGATCTCGAGCCAGATGAAGTGGTAGCTTATGGATGCGCCTTTCAAGGTTCCCTGATTGCCAACTTAAGCGATCAGGAAATTAAGGAGATCTCTAATACCACCACCATATCCACGCCACACTTGTCAAAACCTATTGGAATTGTAAATGCCACGGAGAAATTTGTGACCATTATACCGGAAAACACGCCGTTGCCTGTGCGTCGCGTGTATACGTTCTCAAACGCGTTCGAGAATCAAAAAGAATTTTATCTCTCCATATGGCAGGGTGCGTACAAGAGAAAACCCGTGAATTCTCAGCAAGTGGAAATGGACCGAACTGCGGATGATGAAGAGTCGAATAATCTTCCACAGGTAGTCCCCATAATAGAACCGGAAAAATTAATAGCGGAAATAGTGATGAACGGTTTGCTTCCGAAAAAGAGCGGTGAGCTCAAAATAGAATTTATCATAGAAGTCGATGTCAACAACAAATGCACCATGATAGCAAAAGAATTGACAATAGATAATGTTATTGAACTGACGGTTGATGGAATTAGTTAATTGTATTTTGACCGAATAAAAGGAAAATTTATTTTTTTCCAAGTTCATCAAATATAATCTCTATATGCTTAACACATGAAAAATTAGGCCGGGGGATAAATTTTTTGTTATCAAGATTTCACTATTCACCGGTAAATTACACCTGCTTGACGCGCATTGACAAAAAATGCTCAATTCTTTATTTAAAGAATAACGTCTCCAAATTTTTTCCTATACTTTAATGAGTCACAAAATAATTCAACGGCTACACTGAATTTTTTCTTGTATAAAGGAGCAAAGAACACGAACTCTTTGACAATCGGACAGTTATATAAAATACTCTTTATTACGCGTTTAAAATCAACCGGTAACTCTGGTTGCCTAAAAAAAATGTTTGAAATTGCTTGTAGAGTGATTCTCCGAAAATAGGATCTATCAAATTCATACGATCAATTTAGTTAAAAGACAAATGATTAATAAAATCGGTTATGTTGAAAATTATGTGGGCTAAAGAATTGACGAGTTCTACGGAACGACGGATCTTCTACAGTATATACTGTACTTTAAATATGAACAAGCTGCATCTATTTCGCAGTACACACGTCTTAAGAGAGATGGTTTTGAAATTCCAGGCATTGGCCCGCATGAAGTTATTACCGGATTTATATAAGTCCCAATGAATCCATCTAGGAAATGGATAACTTAAAGGATTTTGTATTTGTTTTTTTTAATTCAAAAAATTTATTTTTTCTAAACAATTATACTGTAGATTTAACTTTGACAATTATCCTTTGTCAATAATCTTCTAATAAATGCCGATTCCTTTTTTTTTAACACCAGCTCATTCCATATCCAATTCCATGCTTTATTAATAAAAATCGTATTTAGTAGCAATTGAAACAAGAATATTGTACTATCTAATATAAATATTTTTTATTAATATTATAATGATATTGTTAACTATATTAAAAAATTGATAATCAAAAAAAAAAAACTCTTTCCACTGATCCTCCTTTTTCCTAAAAATTTTCTTTTTTGGCAATTTTTTTGAAAAAGCAAAC